AGTGCATCCCGAGATCCTCTGCTTTATACCGCATCTAAAGTTTTTTCTTTTCACTTCAAAATGATGATTAGAAATGGCATCGGGTGGAGGTGGTCCACAGAGAGGTACTGCTGCAGCCGCTGCTGCCAACCTACGGCGCAGGAGGACAACTAGTGGCGGAGCTGCTGGAGGAGCCGGTGGTACTATGCTTCAGTTCTACACTGATGATTCCCCAGGACTCAAGATTTCTCCTAATGTTGTGCTTGTGATGAGCATTGGTTTCATAGCTTTTGTTGCAGTACTTCATGTCATGGGTAAGCTGTACTTTGTGCGCAGGGAAGGGTAGAGAATTTCAATATCCCTTTGTTGTTGTTCGCTCAGAGAATCGGGTGTCAACTAATTGGGAATTCATCTAAGACAAACTGAATTGATAGACTTGCCTTTTTTGGTTTTTGTACTGTAACGAATTTTATAGAAAATTTTGAGAAATTAGTTACTGGTTTTTCTATGTTGCGTCTCCTTGGAATTGCAGTTTTCTCGTAAGCTCATCTTCTACTGTGTGCGCTCTGTTGACGACGTCAGGTGGCAATACAATTTGAACTGCCTTCTATTTACCCATATACCAACAGCTTTGGAGGGGGGAAATCATGTTGTTATTTCTTTTTTCCAAAGGGAGAATCAAATAATCTGATAGAATCCTCACTAATTTGTTGAAATAACAGTCCGTGGCATATTACTCGCAATACTATACTAGTTTTAAAGCAACTACACTTTAATTTGCCAAAGACGCAGCTGGAAATTTTACTAGAAGAGAGAGAGATTCTTCGTTTTAATTGAAAGAAATCCGGTGTCAGCCAATTCATGAACAAGTGATAAACGGTGGAAAAGAAATTTTTTATTCTACGCTATGGATTTAAATTCACGAGTCCCTTTAGTACCAAGACTAACACATAAGCAAAGTCCAAAAAGTAAAGGTAAAATGCGGTGAACGTGGATCGAACACGTGACCTTCAGATCTTCAGTCTGACGCACTCCCAACTGAGCTATCCCCGCTATGTTCTAAGGACGAAACTTCTCATTTATATAAATCTGTGCTTTTCTTGGTACAGTATTAACCAAAGCGATGGTTATTGTAATTAGGGGTGTTCTTGGATCGATTTTTTCCTAAAAAGAAACCAAACCAAGTAAGTCGGTTTTTCAAATATTGGAACCAAACCAATTAAGTCAGTTTTTTATTGATTCGGTGTATGTCGGTTTTCGATTTTTTCTTAAATATGAGATATATACTACCAAACACATATTTCGGCGATTACATTTTCAACATAACACTATCAAACCAATTGCTCCTCGAGAAATCTATCATTTACCAAAATATATTGATGATAATTGAATCAAATAGTGATGAATAATTTTAGGACTCAATTAAAAATAAATTATTTTTAACATGAAATAAATTCTTATACTTAGCAAAAGAAAATTACTAATCAAATTAGATTGTAAAGGCAAAGAACTAGATTATTATAATAGCAAAGAACTAGATTAAAAGTGCAAACTATTAAAATGTAACATAAAATTTTAGAAACTTTGTATAAAAATACACACATATATATGTATAATAATAAATTTTAAATAGCTACTTCTATATTCATTTTGGTTCCATTTTTTTCGGTTATTTTTTGGTTAAAACCAAAACCAAATCAAATTTGGTCGGTTTTAAAATTCAAAACCAAAACTAAACCAAACCGAAAAATTATCGATTTTTTTAGTCGGTTTTCGGTTTGGTTCGATTTTTGGGGTTTTTATGAACACCCCTAATTGTAATGCATAACGTCCAATAAATCACGACAACTAATAGTAAGCTTGTCGATAAGAGAATCTCTTTCTCATTTTAAGGTCAAAATAGCATGGCCTAGCTAGTTTTTGGACCAGTAATTAAAAAATAATCAGTATTTATAAAGTCATTAAAAATAGCGACTATTTTATGCGGAGATAAAATCTGGACAAAGATACCCTAGAAGAGCGAAAAATATCAATATAATATGCAGGATTATGGAGTTCTTGCGTATAAACTTCCAGCATATTATGTTGGAACTCTAGCACATTATGAAATTCCAACATATTATGTTGAAATTTCGTATGTAAAAAATTCGAACTCCGGCATATCAAAAAATTTTCGGATTTTTAAGGGTGTCTTTGTTCAGATTTTATTTTTACATAAAAAGTGACTAAATTTTGATTACTTTTGAAACTGTGGTTAATTTTCAATTAACAGTTGCAATTCATGCTATTTCTAAAAAAAATCGATTTTAAGACTTTATGTTCCCTTGAGGATGCATGGAACAACTTTAGTGGCTTTCAAATTAAAACAAGAGATTCTGACATAATTGACCGTTCAACACTAACTTAAAACAATTGCTAGCACATTATATTTGATTGCAAGTTGTAGCCAAAAACCTATTGCATTGGTTATAACAAAGCATTCGCTAACCCACCTCATCTTTTTCATTCTGCCTCTTTGCTACGCTCAGCTCCGCCATCCAAACAACTGCACCTTCTCAAAAATACAATAACCCATTGCTCCATCACCTCATTCTCATAACCAATCATAAATAGCAGTCCTTACTTTCTCAATTCAGTCTCAAATTCACAACCCAAAACCTAATTCCCCACATATATGCATAACGCTTTCTAACTCTCTATGAGGAGTGAAAGCCACTTGACTTTAAGGAGAGGAGCTCCGCCCCTACTTCAATAAAAGCTCCCCCCCCCCCCCCCNTCCCCTTTTTTTTTTCCCTCTAAAGTCCCTCGCTCCACTCATTTTTAAACTTCTAATCAGACCTGGCTGAACATTCCACGACATTGATCAAAAGGTCATTCATTAGCCCTACTAGTCAAATACAGAAAAAAGAGGGATGGATTTTGACCTTGCTTTTTAGGTCTTAGGCTAGCTTTTGACTTAAACGGAAAAACAAACAGTAAAAATATTTTCTCAAACATCACCCACTATAAATTCCCAACCTAAAATTTATTATAATGGTCAGCATATGCAACTCTTAAAATACGATAACAACACCCTTCTCATCCGCATTTCTTCTCCTACCATCTGTTAGATATCCACACAAAAAATTTCACTATCCATCGTCGCCGCTACAAACGCTGCCATTGCATTGCCGCCACCATCGCCACCGCATCGCCCTACCCATACCCCTAAAATAGATTATAAAAAATCAAACTTACCCATATTCTGACTCCAGAATTCCACCACCAAACCTGCCACCACCGCACCGTCACAACTATACTGCCCTACGCCCCTACCCACACCCTAAAAAAATTAAACTTTTAAAAATCAGACCCACCCACCCTGGACCATCCTCGTCCACCCAAATTTCCACCAACCAACTTAAAGAATTAAGAATTAAAAGAGAAAAAAGAAAGAAAGAGTAAGAATTTATACCAAAAAATGTATTAAAAAAATAGAAAAGAAAGAATGAGAAGAAGAAAAAACAAAAGGCGATATATATACAGTTTTTATACATTATAAAAATAGACTATATAATCAAGATACACAAACAAACTCGGGATACATTTAATATACACTTTGGATACATAAATACACTCGGCATACACTTTTAATATACATTAAGAATACATTGTCAAACTTAGGATATAATGCATATAAACTTTTTATACATTTCATAGCTCTANGCATCTATAACTTTATATACGTGTATATATAATTTTTATACATTGTATAACTGTGAATATATTATATTTATCTAAAATTGCAATACACTCGGGATACACTCAATATATACTTTGGATACACAAATACACTCGAGAAACACATAATATACAAACTGCGCACACACACATATTGGATAGCAATATATATGCAGCTTTTCTACAAAAACATAATACAATTATCGTGCATGTATAACTTTATATACGTGTATATATAATTTTTATACATTGTATAACTGTGTATATGCAATATTTTTGTACGAAATTGCAATACAAGTACTGTCAGCCACCCCACAAAACCCAAATCCACTACTAATACCTACTTCAAAAGATCTTCACTCACAATATATCATTATGATCCAAGAAGAAGAAGAAATCACCTGTACAAAAAAGAAAAATCTGATGAGCTATCATTAAATCCCATATCCTCAAAAAACAATTTACCATAACCACTTATAAAATACCATCAGAAAATATACAAAGCTTGACTAGAAAACTCACGACTTCTACTGACACTCTAATAGCATCACCGTAGCATTCATTGAGTAAATTTTCTTAAGAATTGAGTTGAAATTTTGTGAATTTTTTAGGTAAGCTTTTTCAGTGTGAAGTAAAAAGTAAAGAGAAAGAAATATAGATCTGAAATGAAAGATAGAGAAAGGAAGAAAAAATGAAGAAAAAGGAAAAATAGCCAAAGAAAGAAAAATAAAGACAAAGAAGACACCGAGAAAAAAAGTGGTGGGAAAAAGGGTGAGAAAATTATCTGGTTTAATTTGATAAAATGATAGAGGATGGGAATGAAAATGGTCTTGGGAAGAAAAACCGTGCATTGCATAAAATGAAAGAAAAAGAAAGAGAATGGAAATAAAAATGGTCTTGGGAAGAAAAAGGCACTAGAAACGGACAGTGGCTATTACTTGTGAATAAATTGGGTCAGACGGTGGTTCAACGAGGAAGACATAGGCTAATAAAATCTTTGAGTGGCCATATATTGTTTTTTTCTCTTAAAAAAAAATATCTTGTCAAAAATTCGAAACTCTAGTCTAATTCTTATATAAAACAATCTAACCACTATGGTAGCCTAGAAAATAAAAGACGTTTCATCATAAACTTATTCCCATTGCCATCCCTCGAAATAGTTAAAACTTAAAACACGTTCATCGTCATGTTAATGCATTCCCCAACCTACCCAATTTGAATCATCTTTCAAGAGTGCGCAAGTGGACATTTGAATAAGGATTATATTACACAACTTATACTATAGGTAAACTAGAGCCAAGTTGACGACATTAGAGTATCTTTTATCAAAATAACCAAATTATTTGCCTTACATAGCTCAAAGCGACTTGAGAGAAGATACCAACTTTGCCTTACATTATGAGTCCCGCAAAAAGATTCATGGATACATTTTTGCATCATTGATCAAATATAACCGAGTTAGAACTGAATATGAAAGACAAATTCAAAGGAATATGATTTCTTTTAGGATTGGGTAGGAAAGATCTCTTCAAAGAACTGGAGCAGATCACCTTTCCGAGCATCAAACGCTAGGAACTTCTCCACTGCATCCTGCATTCATTTTGCAATTGAAGGTTTGAAATTGTTGATACTGATACAATAACTTTTCTTTTCATAACTCTGAGACACTGTTTAAAATGATACTACACCTTGTACTGCTGATCACGAGCTATTACATTATCCCTGCGAAGTCTCTCAATTTGGTTGTCATTCTTGAGAGTATCCAATATTAATGCTGCTCGCTTTAGAACTTCGTGAGGTAATCCTACAGGAACAAGAACACTTGAATTGTCAAATGAAACTTTTTGGTCATAAACGGTAAACACTACACAGATACTCTCCAAGACGCCGAAGATGATACAACGGGATAGCAATACATATACAGCAGCGAAGCACTTAATGACTGCAGATGCAGTTTAATTCCACTATCGGACTTTTACCAGAAATCTGATTATGATATGGCTCTCTTAACTTATTTTCCATTTTCTTTCTTAAGGAATATCTACATACCACTGATTGCTAGTATGAGAGAGATAATCAAAAATCAAAGATGCAAGAGAAGGGCCAAGCTTTTATATCACATCCTACATATAATTTGAACCAAACAACTTACAGCCTTCTTTCCTAACCAAATGCAAAGAAAAGATAAAAATAAGCTACTATTAAAAATGTCTACTCATTTAAAAATGCTACAAATATATGGTGCTCTTAGGCCAGAGCATATTTACTGCCCTTAAAGGATAATTCTTTTTTTTTTTTTTTGATAACCAAAGGATAAGGAAATATTTTTTCAAGCAGTAATTTAACATACCAGCTAGCTGGGCACAGTGCAACCCTGCAGAAAAAAACAAACCATTAGAAATTTACTGGTATGCATGTTCCTTCGAGGAAAGAAACTTGCACTTACCATAGCTAAGGAAGGCACGTCCTGGGACCAACCTGCCAAGCATACAAGAGTAGGTGATATCACCATTCCCGACGAAATAACAACCACAAAAATTTAAATCTAATATGCAGTAAAAGTTAAATGCTTATAAAGTGATATGTGTAGCCTTTAATGTACGAAAATGAATAATAAAATATTCCATGGCAAATTAGCCAATGCGGGGAACCTTAAATCAGAAGGTTCACTTAAGTTGAAAGTAAAATAGGAACACTGAAATTTTGACTATGACAGCAGTTTATCCATCAGAGGGGTAGTGGGCACATACAAGTTGTATACACCAAACTTACTACATATTTAGCTAGTTTGCGAACCTTTACGCCTAGGATACCAGAATATCAAACGATGAACAAAGAGAGGTATGAGAGAAGCATATTGGCTAGTGAGTGTGAGGTCCCAATTCTTTACTGGAGGGAAAACCAAAGGCCTCTGCCCTTCAAATCGGATTTTGTTGAGAAGAAAAAGTTCTACTGGAATGTTAAGTTATAGAAGGATACCTATAGGACAATTATCAGACCAGCAATGTTATATAGGAGTAGAATGTTGGACCACTAAAATCCAACGCATTCACAAGATGAGTATCACAGAGCTGCGAATGCTAAGATGGATGCCGAGGATATACTTATGTTGTGATTGACAATCACTGATTTAGATAGAGCTAACTTAATGCCTAGGAAATATTACGACTCATTTGGTCCTTGCTCTGAAAATGTCAAGAAAGATATTATGTCAAATTAGTAACCCACTCTTGGTCAATACATGTATATACTACAATATCAACATAAAACACCAAATAATGTATGGATGTAGAGTCGAATGCCCATAGAACACAAAATGATTATTTCACTGCAAGTCATGCCAAAACTCCTGAATAATTGTGCTAAACTTGTCAAACTATGCTCGAGTGTACTGCTTCTAACCATATTGAGGTCAATTACGGATACAAGACCACCAAATTCTTCCTAAACAACAAACTTGGTTGTTGCTCCATATACATTTTGTTTCTAGACCTCCGTGAAGAAGTACATTCTTGAAATCCAACTAATGGAAAAGCTAGTATAGACAAAAGAAACGGATGGAAGCAATCTTATCCTTGGCAGAAATTGTATTACCATAGTCAAGTTCAAAATCAGTGTACTCTTAAACCGATAATATGATTTGGGCCAACTTTCACAATGATTGACAACAAAACGTATATTTATACCATTATAGTGTACAATAGAAATTCATAAATCATAACTTTTCACTAGCCTCAATGAGAAAAAGCTTTGCTTGTAGACTTGGGAATAGAAACGAAGGACTAGGGCATTATATAAGTATAACGGGGTGATAACAATGAGAACTCCAAAAAGAATAGACGGAGGAGGTGTGAGAGGTTGGCCCTGGAGGGCCTAAGGAGAGGTAAAGGTAGGCCGAAGAAGTAATGGGGAGAGCTGATTAGGCAAGATATGGCGTTGCTCCAGCTCACTGAGGACATGACCAGGGATAGGAAGGTGTGGAGGTTGAAAATAAAGGTAAAGGGTTAGAATAAGTCGCCTAGCGTTGTCCTTGTCTGTAACAATAGCTTTAGTACATGAGTTAGCGTTAGTTATGCATTTTCGTATTTCTTGATTTATGTGATTACTTGTCGTTGCTTTCGTTTCGGCCTTCTGATTTTTAGTTTTGTATCTTTGTATTTTTTTCTTCGGTTTTAGAATTGGTGTGATTGCTGCTGCCCTTCCTTTTATCTTTCCTAAGCCGAGGGTCTTTCGAAAACAGCCTCTCTGAGACCCCACTTGTGGGATTACACTGGGTTTGTTATTGTTGTTGTTGTTGTTGTTGGAATGACGATTTCAAATAGAACGAATACGTCTAAGAACAACCATTGAGAACTACATAGAGGAGACAGGTCTGCAACAGACAAAGGCCTTGCCATAGGATCATCTGACCGGATGCAGGTTGCTGATGAGAGAATAAGCAGCTAATTTATCTTTTCCAGTGATCAAGGTATGAAACAAAACTTTTGCTCCCAAAGACATAACTAGACGGAAATATAAAGGTAGTTTAGGAATAGTGCAAACCGTGGAGTCTGTAAAAGGGAAAGGATTGGCATGTATGCTTCTCTTTTTTGCACGATAATAGATTACAGGACTAAACTTCATAAATGACCTCATTTTTAGTTTCTTTACGAATACAGCTCGGGAGATAGAGTCCCTGAGTGATACTGAACTTATACTGCTCACGAGGTTCTGTTACTAATCCTAATGTTACTCAATGGTATCACAGGAGAACAAAGTGCAAGATCTGACGAATAGATCTACACAAATCTCATTGCAAAGTAAGCATACTTTTCTTTTCTTCAAAATTAAAAACAGAAAAGATGAAACAAGAAATGAAAGACACAGTTAATTGATGTTCCCATGGACCCAAATTAATCAATAATATTCAGTTTACAAGGGATGACTTGATCATATCAACCTACTATCTGTCACTGACTAGTTTATTTTTTGAAATAAGAGATACGTATGAAGAAATTAGATGAAAATGTTACTGATTACTAATTGTGGAATTGAAAAAGAATTAATACAAATTTTAAAAAAAACATAGTCACATAGTAATTTGTTCCTTAGACTGTAGGATCAAATCAAATGTGAAACAAGGTTAAGGTGCATCGGCCTGCAATAACTGATTTAAACTTGGAAATCAGATAAGAACTGCAGCATGAGCATACCTATAGAGAAATACGATGTCTTCAACATCTGCACAATCTTTATCCGGGCTTAGCACGCTCATCGTGTAACACTTGATTCTGTCTGACTGAAATTTATCCAAATATGAATTCTTGGTTTGGACAACACAGAAAGCGTTTAAATGACTTCAAATAAGAAACATCAGGCAAAATCATTACGTACTACCTCCAATAAACAACTATTATCAAATATCTCTGTCAAGTGAGTACAGACCAGGACCTGCAAAACAGACAGTTATGACTACGAAACTTCCCATTAACACAATAGCACACAAGTGAGTAGTGAGGTGCAACTTTCAGCAAGAAACTAGGTTACCAAACAAAGTTAGTCAACCGTATTTACAAGAACATTTTGATGTCCAAACTTATCACTAGGCCTGTAGCAAAGTATGTGAAGTGGCAACCAGAAATCGAGCTTGAAGCTCTTATCTTACCAACAAGGTGAGAGCTGATGGCTGTTGGTCTATACTACAATCAAAAAGTTCGTCATGTGGAACTCTTCACCCCCCCGCAACGCCCAGGGCTGGAGTCTGGAGCGTGGGCAATTTATTATTGGGGCCCAACATCGGGAAACGAGAATTGGGATGAGTCTTACTCTTATACCGTGATAAAGAAATGGACCTTTGGCCTAACTTAACCCCAAAAGCTAGCTCATGAGATGAGGATTGCCCAAGACAATATAAAGAGGCCTTCCCATCCCTTAATGGCCAATGTGTGACTCAACGCCCCCTCACACACCCAGGAATGGACATCCGGAGCATGGACAATATAAGATGGGGCCCAACATCGGTAAATGAATTAGGATGTGCTTGGCTCTGATACCATGATAAAGAAATCGACTTTGGGCCTAACTCAACTACAAAAGCTAGCAAGTTGAGGATTGCCCTAGACCATATAAGGAGTCCAATACTCGCATCCCCAATCGATGTGGGATATTCAACATCCAGTTTGGTTGATGTAACTTTGGATACAGACATATAGGTTAGCTTAATCTAGAAAAAGCAATTTTGGAGTGCAAGAGGAAGGAAAGAAAGATGTACTCCACTTGAGGATCAAGTCAAATTTGACAACTAAAATAGCACAGCATCAAGGGGCAGCGGATTGGCACAATATATTTTGTTGCTTCTCAAGAATTGAGCATTTGGTTCCAAGCAATCATTAAATAACAAATTCCCTTGTAATTTCAGATAATTGTCGAACAACGCTGACGTGGTTTTCCCAGAAGAAGAGATATAGTGCAGTTAAAGGAAGCAGAGACATAGCTGCTCGTCAAGATCAGAGGGAAACTGTACTATTTGAGACCAAAAGACAGGATGAGGAGGGGCCAAACTAGTCAGAAAAGGGACATATAAGTGAACAAGCAAACCATACTGTTTCCAGAAGAAAGTAAAAAACAAAAACAGCCTGTGATTCATTCATTTCTATCAATACAATTCTCATATTATTTGACTACCTAAATTCGCTATCAAAATGCTTAGCCATTACCATCACAGTTCTTATGAGCATTAGGAAAACCAATTATACTTGTCCCAAAACTCTCTTCCACGTGGTATCTAAACAAATATTAGGAGGCAGTAAAACCAGACCTTTGGAGGGTCATAGCATGACACAAAGTGATTTATGGTTCCACCAAGGAGACCGATACCATCTGAAAGGACAATAAAATGTATTATGAGACAACCAACAACAGTGGAACTACCTTTGCGTTAACAGTAAATTTTACTACTTTACTTGGTTGTTCAATCCTTTTACAAGAGACAACAGAGCGTCATGTCTTCATACCCTAACACTTGAGAACGGGCAAATTAGATCACTAGGTAATTGATATTTAAGTGCCTATGAAAATCAGTATAAAGCTGCTATAGATTAACATGGCCCAGCATTATCATTCCAATTGGTATTTTAGTAGTAGCATGTTTCGGAAGATTTTCTAATTTTTCATATCAAAGTCCAACTTAAAATGAAAATTTTGAATCAGGGTCAGAAATGCCAGATATTTGGAAGACCAACCTTCTGTAAGGGTGCCTTTACCAAACTCATCCAGCAAACATAAGGACCGAGGACTTGCATGCCTGCAACGATTTTCACATGAAATTACATGCATATGATTCATCTAGTGTGTACTTGTATATATCACGTATGTGTGTGTCTGTCCCTGTATATACTTGTATGATACCACACTATCAGAAAACTTACGTTGACAATAAACATAAATACATGATTAGCATTTTGAATTTCAGAATTACTGATCAATGATATTGGCTTTATGCTCAGATGAATATATTGGAGTCCTTCAGTACGCAAAATTTCTCAAAGCATAGGTATATTGCAATTTGCTGGTCTTTATTAGGTTTTAGTTAAGCATACCTTAACATCATTCCCACTTGGTGCAGGTCAATCATAAATGTTGATTGTTCAGCAGTCATAAACTTACTTCCCATGGCACAAAATATCCTGTTTGTCAAGTGGCATTATCACTCTTTGACATATCAAGCAAATGACCTAAAATACAACCTACGCAAAGTTGACATTCCTTGGAAAATATGCTATCGTGTTGAATAATGCAGTTGAATATTCAATTTTTACAGATGAAAATAGTGCTGCTTAAGAAAAATTAACTAAAAACTACAGAAGAAGTGCAGAAAACCTGTCAGTTAAACCCACTGTGGCAGCATCTGCTGGTACAAAACTTCCAATGTGGGAAAGGAAAACTATCAACGCAACCTAAAAGAATTATTAAACGGAGTGATTAACTGGAGCAAATATGGAACCACAAACATATATATTTCTTTTTTGATGAACCAAATTGATGAACACCGAAAACAGATGAGTTGTTCCATTGGTGTTTACTTCATTATGAGGTTGAAGTATGAGAATAATTTTAAACACAAGGATATTGTATTCCTTATATAAAAAGAAGGATAAGTTCACCACTGATGAGGGAACACATATCCGTGGCCATTTCCATCAAGTCAAAAAGAATATGTTTAAGGGGATTTTATACAAAGCTACAAAGTATAACACCTCGTATCAGGTCAGAGAACCACGGTTAATAGAGCTTTGAGTACACTACCTGAAAACTTGGATATAAACTTTTGGGTTGTGAAATTGATTATAACCACTAACCAGTACATCAGGGCTGCAGGTGGGAATTGCAATAACTCTTGCACTTCGGATGGTTATGACTTTCATGAATGGATTGATATGGGTAAATGGAAGACATGATTAGCAGGATTCATATAACCGATCCCGACTAGCTTGGAATTAGGCGTAGTTGTGCTGTTTGTTGTGTTTACCAAAAAGTCAAAATTTTCTCACTTTAATGACTGGAGAGGCATTGGTGTGAGGGACAAAAATGCATGGAAACAAAGTGTGGTAGGGCCTGAGGGAAGTCATAGCAGGGGCTGTCTGTAAATTGGGTGGAAAGGTCCAGGTATACCGTATGTGTGCTGGACGGCAAAGGGAGTTGGAGATCTTTATCTGATGAAAACTTTAGAGGACTATACATGGTTTATTACAAGCCAGCCTTGGAGAGGCTATCAATGTCTGTACTCATTTGCTCAAGATCTTACAACTAGAGTTGTATGCAGTGGTTGGGGAGAAAATTTTACTGCTATAGGGTAGGGAAGAAGAAGAAAAATTTAAACTTATTTGTTAACAATGCCTGATGTCTAGATCAACCAAGCAAAATTTTCACCCTAAAAAATATTTTTCTAATATTTGCAAACATTTTGAGGAGTAAAAAGAGCCGAGGGTCTTCCGGAAACGGCCTCTCTACCTTCTTAAGGTAGGCGTAAGGTATGCGTACACTCTACTCTCCCCAGAACCCACTAGTGGGATTACATTGGGTTTGTTGTTGTTGTTGTTTGAGTAAAAAGACTTATTTCTGTTGCTAAACAAGCCATTGCTGGATTAACTGGGCAACTAGAGTATGTCAAATTGAGAAACTCGTGTCTCTTTCATTTTTACCAAATTAAGCCAAAAGGGAAGGACGAAAGACGTCTATATTGTTTCACATGTCTCAGTGTGCATACCTTCTGTCTCCCCCTAGCACAAATAATACGTCAGAATGACATAGCAGAACATATGTTGAAGAATGTGTCATTGGACGTAAGGAGTTTTTGACAGGCCCAGTTTTTAGCTAATGAATATTTCATCTGTATACGTTATTAACAACGTTTTGCCCCAAATAAGAAAATCCAAACCTGTGCAAATAAATTCTGAGAATGGATGTCTAAAACCAAACTAATGGGAGGAGAAAGATGGTGAAAAATAGCATATTGAAGAAAGATCTGTAATCTGTAGTAATTGATTACAACAGAAACTGACAGGTTCTTAGGCAGTCTTAGGTGCACATTTACATGCCAAAGCACCAAATTGACATTGTATGTGGTGAGAGAAAGAGAGTTCTACCTGCTTGATATAGATGCTTTTGCCTGAATAATTAGGGCCTGTGATGATATTAATTCTTCCTAGAAAATACATAATGATCAGCCACAGGACATATAATGCTTGGCAAGATGAGCTTAAAATGGCTTCTATATGGACATTCTTCTGTACCTTCATGAGAAACTTTTGTGTCGTTGGGAATAAATGTGCCTACTGTTATCTCCTGCAAAACATGTCTGGAAAAAGAATTATATAAAAAGGGCATCCCATAACAGATGCCGTAATGGTAAAGCTAATTGCATTAGCATAAAAAAGATGCTCTAGATTATATGCCTGTTTCTTACCTTCCATTCCTTATATCAATCACGTCTTCTTTAGTCAAATTTGGCCTTACATAGTTGTTCTGACGTGCAACCAAGGCTAACGCTAAAATACTACATTGGAAGCAAATAAAATAAATCAGGAAACCAATAAAAACGGAAAATAGAAGATAAGAAGCAAGAATTTGTATGGAAATGCTCACCAGTCAAGCTCAGCTGCAAAATTAACAGCCTTGTTCACATGCACTGAGAGCTGAAGAATATGTGACACTAGGTCCCTCATAATAGCTCTCTCCATATCTTTGGAAAAGTTCAAAAGAGTAAAAAGAAACTGTATAGAAACTGAATCAAAATATTCATGCCACGAAAAAATTGGTGCTTGGTAGTGAAAAAGTTTCAAGGTTTCGCCTATCACACACAGTGATTGCAGGCTGCACTCAAACTTGTTTGCTGTTACTATTCAATCTTGTTTGAATGAACCTTTTTTTTTTTAAGAAATTCTTCGAGAATTATAATTGTGAAAGCTACGGACAAGAATCAAAGAATACATACCAAGGATTTTATGATATATATCTCCGAGAAGGTTATCCAATTCTCTTGTCTTTGCAGTATGATAAAAGAACCTCCCATTTTCTCCCTCCTCATCAGCAAACTAGGCATTTGAAATCCATTACTAATGTAGATCAGAAGACGTTTAGTGATTCCATACACCGTTTTATAAGTCAGATGATGACATACAGCAAACTCATAGTCCTGAAGCTTCTCTAGCATTTCTTCATCGAGTTTTTCATTGAAAATGCACATTAAGTAACCTGTAAGAGGGAAAATACAGATATTGATTACGACTAAAGATGCACAGTTTTATCCTAGGCTTAATAGGTATGAGAAAGAAGATAGCATACAGAAACTCTCTGAAACTGACAGGTGCAGCCTGCTGTGAGACAAGATGCAGAACATCTCTCAGAACTGGAGAATAATGCAGAACATTTTACTTTCAGGTAGTTTTCTACTTCTTCATCTCGCTTCTGGACCTTTAGTAGGTTGCTATGTTTCATTAGATTTTGGCATTTTATATGGGTGTCATAATTGGCAGACCAGAAATATGCATTTAATCAGTGTTGCTTTTGTAGAAGATACAAATGAAGGGATGAATTCAACCAGGTAGAACTACATGAACTTTTTACAGGGAGATGGAAGGGGGAATTTTTTTAAATGATTTGCAGTTAGAACGATTAATATTCTAGTCCATATCTGGTCATTAAGAATGCAAAAGTTATCAGGTCAAGAAACTTCTTTCAGATACAGCCAAGACGGCCAAGTATTAAAGATCATTGGGTACAGAATGAATACATCCCTAGTCAACAGTCAGCAAGAAGACCCTGTTACTACGTTGTTACATTAAACATCTGGCTTATCCTGATGCTACCTTAAAATGTCATCTACCTTTACACACATTCATAGGTAATCAACTTTGAGATCCATCTTTCACTTTTATTCTGATTACTTAAGTATGGTTGAGAAAAGAAATAGACTTTGCTTTTGTACATTGAGTGCCTATTTTCCTGTTAAAAGCTCAAAACAACAAAGTATATTTTGTGTTATATTAAACTGCCTCAATTAAAGTAAATAGCTGGAGAAATTTTCAAGGAAAGGACAAGTTCCAATAAAAAGAAAAGGGATTCAAAAGTTAGATCCAACCCTGACATACAAGACTACTATCTGAAAAAGGAAGCATTCCCAGGATCCAAATGGGCATCAGCAGTTATCAGTATAAAAGCTGAACACCTATGTAGCTCCAAAGCTTCTTTTTTTTTTTCTTTTTGATAAGGTAATAGCTCCAAAGCTATTATAATCATGACAACATGAAAGGGTGAACAGACCTATCTGATGTATGTAAATGATAGAAGGGATCTCCTTGTCTCTACACATGTGAGGAAGTCGTGCAAGTTCCAAGGCCGAAACCTGCAAAGTACTGCTAATATCAAATTCAATAGCCTGCAGGCTTAACTTCAATTGTAAGTGGTTTCATCGAGAAAAATCAGAAGTCAGAAAACCTCCCCCAGAAATTCTGGCAATCCCTCATATATCTGCCTCAGCTCATCCAACTAGACAAACAAGATTACACTCATAAAACCATAAAGAAAGAAGATGCCAAAACCAATGCAGGGAAGATAATAAACCCACAAGTTACTGCAAGATGTATGTCCTACCTCATCACAAAAACCTTCTTTTACTATTGTCTCATAACCCTTCTCTTTACTTCTATCAACATCAGTCACGCCAATTACCTGCACATTGCAGGCACACACAATTTGTGAAAAAAAATGCTTGCTGGTATACTAATGGGTACTGCTACTAGTATACCCACAAGAAAACAGACATATCGTCAAGGCAGAAATGAGGACTATGAGTGAATGGTCTGCATATGGACATGCCTAGACAGTGATACACCTACTAGTAAAGTAAGTCTTACAAGTTAACAGACAATTTTGGCTTGACAGTTCAAGCTCCAGTCGCTGATTGAAGAAGTTTCCAGGATACATGTGTAGTCAGATCTAGTTACCTAAAACCAGAACCTAGAGGCATTCTTGGGCAGGGGACACTACAGAGGTTAAAGTTGTTGTAACTGCCGAAGACCAACTGCCAAGGTATTGTCTACTTTAGTCCAACCTTCGGGGCCCTTTGGGCTTAGCCCAAAAGATGCCTCGACAATTGAATTCTTGATCTCGCTTATATGATCCTTAACTTTCCTCTCCCATTCTGATGTGGAATTTACCTAAGGGAAATTTCACAGCGAACTTCTTTTCAAGTTTAACCACCAGCGGCCCATGGGCTGTTACACTTACCCCCTTAGGGCCTCAACGACATTGCTTAGAATTTCCCCACACCGTGCTAGTGACATACTGGCTCAAATACCACCTGTAACGGCCTAAACCCAACTGCCAAGGTACCTATTAGAATGTCTAGATTCATACACATCTAGATTCATTGTACTCAAATCCGATTGATATAAAATATTTTATAAGATTTTCATCTTTTATGTACAATGAATCTAGACATGTATGAATCTAGATACATATTCACTTAATATTCTAACATGCTCCCTCAAACTCGAATGGAGAATGTTAAGTGTTCCACATTAGTTAAGAGATGGGTTGTTTGTATCCTTATTTGGCCGTGAGCAATTCTCACCTCATGAGTTAGGTTCTGAGGTTGAGTTACGCTCAAGGTCTATTTTCTTAACATGGTATCAAAACCTTTACAATCTTGGTAGAAACTCAATCGGTGAGTTGTACTAGCCAATGTGTGCTTCCCGTCGAGCCAATGTTTTCTTGCTTTGTTCTTCGTTTTGGTGCCCAACGAAGCGCTCTCAGAAAAGCAGTGCCCTTATCTCCAGATAACTCGCACAAGCGCTACTCCTATCTCTAGGATCATTCAAGCATTGTCCATGTCTTTGACGATTGGCGCTACTACTTTTTATGCAACAGGTGCCCTTCAATAAACCTTGAATTTCTTGGCATTGTTCTTACAATTCAAGTTACATTGATAATGTTCTAGAGATTTGCAACAGCATATCGCTTTTCAGTGATTAAAATAGATTCCTTTTCATGTGTAGTGCAAGAAGCACTTTCTTCTGTTGTGCAATTACAACAACTTTCTGAAGGAAAGATTTCAAGCAGCGCTTTTTTTTGGGTGAGTGTGCACTGATCCAGTGAGATTTTGGCATCAACTTTCTCTGTCTTCAAAGTAAGCAACCTCAAGCTGATTTTCTCATTTTAAGCTTGAGGAGGCATGTTGCAATATCAAGTGTATATGTATGTAGATTCATACACGTGTAGATCTATAGTAATAACACGCGCACCATTGGTGGTTGAACTCGAAGTGGGATTTATGACTTTGCCTTAGGAAAATTCCATATTGGACTGGGATGGAAAAGTTAGGGGAAATATTAGGCTATATCAATAATTAGCTGTCGAGACGCTTTTTGGGTTAAAGCCCGGGAAAAAATAGTGAGGCCTCGAAGGTTGGGCCATAAATACATGATAGTTGGATTAGGCTGTGACAGGTGATATCAGAGCCAAAACATCTCCTAGTACGGGGCAAACCTCGGTGCGAATGCTAAGTCCCGGGGGGGGGGGGGGGGTAACAGTTCACGAACCGCTGGCGATTACACTAGAAAAGGATTTTGTAGTCTCAAGCAATCCCATGTCAGAATGGGAGGGGAAATTTATGGGCTATAAAAGGGCGAGTTCAAGATTCAACTATAGAGACGCTTTTCTGGCCTTAAACCCAAAGGACAAAACCATAATGCCCTTAAGGCTGGGTCAAAGTAGACAATACTCTAAAAGTTGGGCTTGAGCCGTGACAATGTGGTATCTGAACTGATACCTCCGCAGTATGGTGGTAGGGCAAGTCTCGACAAGGAATGCTAAGTCCCAAATGGGAGGTTGAGTGTAACAACCCATTGACCACCAACAGTTGAACTCAAAAAAGAGTTTGCTAAGAAGCTTGTCTTAGGCAAATCTCACATCAAAATGAGAGGGAAAAATGATGGGCCATAAAAGAGCAAATTTATAATTCAACTATCGAGGCGTCTTTTGGGTTAAAGCCCAAGGGGACAAAACAGTAAGGCCCCAAAGGCTGGGCTAATGGACAATACATTGACAATTAGGCCTAAACCGGGACTATTGTGGAAATTTTCTAGAAGAAAAGCAATTGTTGTTTATCTTTTTGGCTATTCCTTGAAAGAATCGTGTTGACGGTTTCGGATGACAAAAGCAAAAGATTTTGTACATAGTTTTCAAACTTCTACCGTAAATTGGTTCCAATGTAATCAAGTCCATGTCTGAGAGACCTACACTGTGGAACTAATGTTATACTAATAACAATACTAACCAATTCACAGACATAGGCTAGATCGACTGAAATGTGAAAATCAGCCTGCAAAAAGAGAGCCCGAGTATGTAGATAAGGATGGTTGTAAATTAGAGAAACTATTGTGACACATGTAATCATGGTGAAATTTAAATATTAATTTGATACCCTCTCAATAATATCCAAGTCCAAATTCTTCAATTCCTCGTACAGAGATCCAGAAATGCCTACTTCGAATATTTTGCTGATATGCAGGAGAGCACAAACACTCTGCATGAAATTGAATAGTCAAATTTGGATAAAGTACAAATGAGACTAATAAAGCACGCATAATCTAGATTTAGCAGCAAAAAGTTTACAAAAAGTTTTTCGGCTAAAGGGTAAACTGAAAACCGAATGGCACTCCTATCATATTTCTTGTGCTAGTTTCAAGCTTGAGGTCAAAGACTAATTGAAATTGTGTAAAGTAGAAAATGTAAAATAGCTGGTGACAAAATGCTTAGCTAGAAAGTAATTGTCAAATTCAGGTAAAGCATACTAATGAAGAGTAACAAACATGCAATACTTTATAATGTCTAATCAAAAATAGAAAAATGGAAGTCTTTTTTTAGGTTAACATCCAAAAAGGGCTACACAATGCACTTCCATGACCCAGCATACATCGAAATTTGTTTCTGAACAGCTCAAATGGCACGTAAATATAAACTTCAAATATTTAAAATAGCAATCTTGATAAAATATAAGCTAGAGCAAAATGCCTCAGGTACAGATATCTGAGGATTGAATGGGCCAGTAAAGTGACAGAGGCAGTGTACATATCTACCTTCAGAAAAGCAGCCCAGTCTGCACTTGTAGATATAGAACTTGGAGAGTTAAATTTCTGTGGAAGCAAGGGAACAGCGAAAAAATAACAAACAAGAAGAGAAGAGAACCAAAACTGATGAAGAGAGAGTAGAACTTGTATCAAACAGACAACCAGCTTTATATTCAACATGAGCCATGTAAAAAATGCATCTTATAGAAATTTTATGCACCCAAAAGTTAAGTACTCCCTCAGTCACATTTTATGTGGCAAACTTTCTTTTTTAGTCTGTCCCAAAAAGAATGGTATATTTCTATATTTAAAAATAATTTAGCTTTAAACTTCTCATTTTACCCTAAATGAGATAATTTATAGCCATAGTGCCACACAAGTTCCTATGGCTTTTTTTCGAGCACAAGTTTCAAAGGTCTTTCTTTCATTCTTAAACTTCGTGCCCAGTTAAACACCGCCACATAAAATGAGACAGGGGGAGTAATAGATTTTGGTATAGTTTGATCTTTTTTGTACATTTGGACCAAGAAAATAGTTTTAAACTTTGAACAAATTGTAGAAGGCACTGAATGGTTTCATCCAGGTTACGAATTACATCATTTAAAGCTATTTTAAGTGACTGTTTCTTGGGCGACACTACAAGAGAAAACAAAATGACCAAAACTGAAGAATAACCGAGTAAGTATATGGAAGAGAACATAACACAGGAAATAGGAACCTTGAGTATGCAGGAAATATCTTTTACAGACTTCAGTGTTTCGCGTAAAGAGACTGCAATTTCTTCAGCAGACAGGAAGAACGATATCTTCAGAAGTCACAGGAAAAATTCCTTTTCACGTGTGTTATGAATATAAATCAGTTGCATAAGAAGTCATAATGTTTCATGGTTATGGCGTTTCAAGTTCTGAGAGCACTCCCACATAGAAGGATAACCGTCATTTATTCAGTGCCTGACTTGATGCAAAAAACATTTTCAGTTGCAGAAAGACAGAAACTATAATGGTCAAGCCCATCTGTCAAAAAACTTAAGGATACAGTGTCAAGACGCCGATTCAGGTTATCTAGATCCAATATAGGCCTCAGAAACCAGCTCCTGATGAAAGATGAACTATTAGACCAGAAGGCATCAAGTACATTTAATCTTTGCAAAAACCACATCAAACTATTTCAAACAAAACTAACCTCAAGAGACGTCTACCCATTGGAGTTACGCACTGAAAAAAGGAAACAAATATTAGCCCAATATTTTCGTAGCTGCTTAAAAACCACCAACAGCAAAAGGCCACAGCTTTTAAAACCAGCCACCCTCCTCAAACCTTATTCATCGTCCCAAATACAGAGAACCTACATTAAAAAGGTGATTAGTCAAAACTTCCATGGTTGATTAAACATAGAGAGTAGTTTGTAACTGACCCTTCTTTTGATCTGCCTATCCCCATATGGCTAGGATGCTTGTCTATTTGGAATATTTGTAATGCTTCATGAGCAGCTGAATCAACTTTGAGAAATTTGTCACTTGATGTGATAGTCAAGGCACACATCATAGCACAAATTTCATCCCCAATGCAAAACATAGAAATATGAATGAGAGAAATGAATAAAAGAAGGTTAATCCATTTCAGGAAAATCAAGCTTAGAGGATACAGCGAAATTTCACAGATGCAATCAATTGCAATTGATGCACTCCCACTTTCATTTAGTTCAAGGGTGTCTATGATCCGCTCATTCTCCAGCACAGCTAAAAGGCCCCCACTTGCACGAATTTGAACATCGCTGCTGACGTCCATCATAGAACTTAGCTGCAATTGTAGACGATACAGCTCTTATTAGTTTCATAGTTTACTTCAGAAAGAGCAAAATTTTAAACTAATTTACAGAAATACGACCTTCTAAGAAACCAAACAACAGGAATAAAGTAAGAAATTGAACCATTATCCATTATTTGCTAGCATATTTTAGGCCTAGCTAAATTTTTTCGATAAAGATCTATACCTAGCTAAAGTAAAAGATATTTCACTACAAAAAACATGTCCTGAACACTTGCAAACCTGACAATCCGTAGATCTAAAACTTGAGTTTCCAACCATGAAATTGAACAACTAACGGTGATTTGCAGTTGAAGAAGAAGAGCAAATGCTACCTAAGCAAAGCATGTATGTTAACCTTGTATATTGATGATTTTGTACTCTCTTTTTTTTATAACCGTGGTGTCCCGGCCAGCTTTCGCGCACCTCGATTAATTCCACTGTATACCTGCTACCTCCCGCCAGCAACAAGTACCAAGTAACTCTATCCACCAAGGCTTGGACAGACAAAAGAAATCACCAAGGCATGATGATTTTGTAATTGAAAGCAATGATTTGGGGATGATCTTGGAAACTAAGAATTTTCTATAGCAATACTCTAAGATGAAGGATATTGGTGAAGTCTATTTGTCATAGGCATAGAAAATTGCCAAGATAAAACCAATAGAACTTTAGGTTTATCTCACAGGGCTAAAGTCGGCTAAAGTCTGAAAGAAGTCGAGTGTTAATATCAAATTTAACTTTGTGCTTCGTGATATTCTTTTTTCCTAAATATCAGTTCACAATATAAGTTACTACTTCTAGTTAATGCTTAGTGCAACTTCTAACTGCATTCAACATTTGTATAAATGATATTCCAACATTATACTAGAAATAAACTTCTTCTTTTTCAAGAAATTGTTTTATTGCGTTAAAAATAAGAAAGAAAATCACTCTGTACATGCATGCAAGTATTTTTGGAGCTGCTAAGTATTTAATCATCAGAAGTTGACGGAGATAAAAATATGTAGTAAGACAAGATTAGTGCATGGGGTTCTGGACTAAAACTGAGTATATCGACTGTTCTTCATAAAACCTCGTCCACAACACAGTTCCAACCATAATATTTTAAAATGGTATAATTCCCTCAACATGGAGCCACTAGCTACAGATTATGTTATGAAGTTCTATCAGCTCAGCAAAAAGTAAATGGAAGTATGTCTAGTAATACTAGCTTGACGAGTGCATATGAGGAAATTGCGAGATTTGTTTACCAGGTTCTTACATGAATGTAAAATCAATAATTTGAAAAAATTGAAATATGTTAGACCTGACAGGTGATTTAGCAATCCCAATAGTCAACAGAATTTTCATAATTTACCATTCAATGAACCCATGTCGTTTTAATCCACATATCGATGACACTCAAACAAATACAACTGTACTGTCAAAGAAGAGATGATTGCTCACATTTTTAATCATATAGCAGGAAACCCAAACATGTGCTGAAGATAAAGATGCTTCCCGGTAAGCATTCTTTCAGGTATCTTCGTTTGTCTTCAATGTTATTTTTTTATGGTAAAGAACCTTCAAACTAGATAAAACTTAAAAGAAAGCTGTAATATGCAAATGATGGCATGGCTCTAGAAAGCCCATATGACCATCCTGCTTTATATTCAAGTAAGTCCTGTTTCCTTCAGGAGCTGCCTTCTCTTTTTACTTCTCTTTTCAGGGCATGTATACTTCCACAGGGGAGATTTTGGGTGATGACTACCGAGAAAGCATTTCCAAATATCAGACATCCAGTCAATAAAAATAAAATAAGCTAGAAATTACTGTGTTTTCTCATTCTTTCTTGCTCTTTATCATTCAAGTTAATATCATACTTTTGCCGATACTCTTGTCAAACATGGATCTGAAATACCATTGTGAATGTGCTACAATGCACCTCTTTTCAAAAGTATAATGAGTTACTATGAGCTTCAGCACTCCCCTTCCAAGAAAGTTTCGATCAAATCGTGTCCCCACTTAGCTAAAAGATAGAGTGGAGAAGTTACATCCCATGACCATTCACCTAGAGCATATTATTAAATACTATTCTTTGTTGTAATTGCTATGATTGTAGAGGAGATTTTTTAGTCTCAGGAAGTTCTTAAACCAAGCTGACAACTAAAAAGCCCCATATTTGGCATAAAGCAACAAAATAGCACCTACTGTAAAAACAGTTCTTGTGTCAACTAGAATAAACACGCATTCAGATTTCAGAGAATATAAAAATGCATAATCGAGGCAGTAAAAGTTTTACTCACAAAAGCAGTTCTCTCTTTTATGTTCAAACCATCATCCATCCCAGTGACTTGAAGGTACATCAATCTGTGACCCAAAAACAGCTCTGTAGTAAAACTATTCAGAAAGAACACTGAGAAACAGATTAATCCATTAATTACAACTGCAAGGAGCATTTAAATAGTTTGTGTCATCTGGTGGTTATGGTCACTAGGAATATACATTTACAATGACATCCTAATCCCATATCATTAACAGATAACTACAGCTTTTGATGCACCTAGGGCTTCCCTTGCCAGAACTATATTCATCTTGGACAAGTAAACAAATAGAATAGGAAATAAAGAAAATATAAGTAATAGCAGTATTCTTCGTCAAACCTGTGCCATGCTTGCTCATGGCTGAATAGCGAACTTTTAACAAGCTTTACAGAAGGAGCGTCACTTGTACCATCTGTGTCACATCACAGAGTAGATAATGCTTCCACAAGCAGAAAGATCAACATGCCAATAATAAACTGAGAACATACCACTTCTCTGTAAGGCACCCAAGAAAGATTCCTCACTTTTAGTACTTGTATAGATTGTTCCTGGTTTAGCCTGATATTTAACTGAACAGGACTCTCACTTTCAGCGAACATCATACACAATGCATAAAAGAAGAAGCTAAGCTTGCTTGAGAGGAGTTTTATGGATGCTTTAAACTACTTCTTCCTCAAGAATGTAAAACTAAAGAAATTTGTCAAAGCAGTTCAGAAAGCAATTTATCAATGCAACAAGTTCAGTACATCATGTTAACTAACTTAACTTTCATGAAAAGAGAGACAGAAATGCAACGAGCACATAAATTAGCTGCTAACAAATCAACCAAGGGAAAGCGAAGAGTTCATACCCATATCAACCAAGGAAAAGTCATGACTCCCATCTTCCCAGATTTCCAGTACGTGGAGTTGGCGTATACTGGCATCATAATAGGAAACTCCAATCCTTAAAGAACAGAACTGTTAGTTACTAATTAATTCAGCATTTTTTTAAAAATTAATTAATTCAGCATTCGCTCTTGCTAGCATTTCTTTTTTATTTCTCCATCCTTCAGGTAGTTTGCCTTTCGTTGTTTTTCTACAATCAAGTTCAAGATCAAAGATTTTCCTTTTCCTTTTATAATTGTTTTACCCTCTTTATTGTAATCAAATATCAATGACACTGTTTAAATTGTCAGATTGAATCCTGCTTTTCAAGACATATATAACATGTGAAGATGGCACATATCGTTAGTATCATTTTTTGTCTCCCTTAAACCATTCATTCAAGAAGGTCCTAAAGTAACTATGGACATTCTAATAAAGTCGTCAATATCAAGGAGCTCACCTGTGTCCATGCATAACACATGCCATATAAACCTGCATTATAAGCCGCAACCAGCAAAAGTTATATACGTCTAGAGGAGTTTCTATAGTAAAGCTTCAAAAAAGTGAGGTAAAACACGTTTTGCCTATGGGTATAGAAACACAATTACTTCTGCTCCAAAATAAAAGGCATGATTATTTTGAACATCAAAAAACCATTAACACACATTCAAAGTCTTGAAATTGAATGGATATAGAACACAAGGAGTTTCAACTCTCCATGTGAGTGGTAGAGGAAAAATTAATTCATATCCATTAAGAAAATCATTTGAAATCAATAAATAACAAAGTTCTCACTAAAATATGCTACTCCCTCTACTTCATTTTATGTGAACCTGTTTGACCGGACAAGGAGTTTAAGAAAGAAAGAAAACCTACGGAACTTGTGGTCTTAAATCAGCCATGATATTTTTGTGGCTATAAAATCAATGATGTTAAGGAAAAAGTGAAAAGTTTAAAGTTAAATTGTTTATAGAAATGTGTCGTTTTTTCTGGAACAGGCTAAAAAGAAAAGAGTGTCACATAAATTGAAACGAGAGTTCTCTTTTTTTTTTTTTTTGATAACCGAGATATTTTGTAGGCTAGCTCTAGCCAACGCATGATTTGAAACTCGGTGGAAATATGGGCCTACTTCCACTTAAATATCAGGCTTTTATCTGAGGCAGGTTTCAAATTCTTGACATGCGCCTAATCCATATACCACAAGCTACACTCTTACCACTTCCATACTGTATTAATGTTCACTGTAATATGCTATGCAAGTGCAATTTATCATTTTTGTGCTATGTTCCAATCAGCATTTAAATGCTTTGTTTTGTTTATCAACATAAAATTGGAGCATCCAAAGGGCTGAAATTGCTCGGAAATTAAATTAGCATATATCATACAAGTTTTACATATTAAAACAAATCAAAAGTCTACTTTGTAAACTAGATTTTTATATCTACTAAATACTAATCAGCTGGTTGACAAGTAATTTAATTGGCTTCTCCTAGTACCTTATCCACAACAACAACAACAACAACAACAACAACAACAACAACAACAACACACACACAAACACAAACACAAACACAAATTCATAACTCGGATCACAAATTTGTCTTTAAAACCTATCAAATTACGCCTCAACTGATAACTAAGAGCAAAAATGCATTTCAATTCTGCTTTCTTAAACAATTTTCACAAAGAAATAGGTTATGGACTCCAAAAACACACACACACACACGCATTCAAAACTCTGCTCATAAATTTGTCTTCAAAATGTTATAAATTACGTTTCAATTGATAACTAACAGCAAACATGCCTTAAATTCTACTTTCAGCTAAACAATTTTCACTAAAAATAAATAAAATTAAAAATAGGTTATTGAAATCTGAGCAAGCTTGGAATTACTTACATTAGACTCTTCCTCTTCTGATAATTCAGGCATAGATGATCTTATCTGCGACTGCTCGTTATGATCTTCTCACATCAAATTAAAGTTCAAATATGCTATCCGATTATCAAGACCCAAAAAAAAAAAAAGGTAAGCTACGTATATAAGAAAATTAAATTTGCTGTAGAATAATAATTGTAATACATTTGAAAATGTAAATAGAGAATAGATAAACGTAATCGTGATTCGTGAGTGTGCACCTCGATCGCGTGCAAACAACGCCTCCACTTGCAGCGTATATACTGCGTAGGTTAAGTAGCAAAGAGTGTAAAATGCAGGAGCAAAATTTTCACTGGGAAAAGTGAAGCGGGGAGAAATTTCTAGAGAGAGTGGAAAAATTGGCGGCAATTCATCAATTGAGGTGCTTTTATAGAACTGGGAAGGGGCAAAAAAGTAATTGGGCTGAACGCTGACATCCCTTAGGCGCGGATCCTTTCAAGCTTATGGTTTATATATAGCGAATTAAATTAATATGGAGTAAAATAAGGGGTATTATCACTTTTATCCCGCGTCAGAAACTATATATATATATATATATATATATATACATAAATTATACAAATTTTATATATTTTTTCAGCTATTATTTTTACAGCAGCTATACATTGTCATTTTCTCTTAAATTTACTGTCAAATATTCTACAATAACCTCAAATAAATTTATAATAATAATTGAGTTCACATTCAAATTTATAAATAATTTTTTGAATTTTGTAATACATATATAGAATACGGGAAAAATGTTGTAGATTGCAAGCCTTTCTCTTTCTCCTTTTCTCCTGTACTTTCTTTTTATTTTTTGGTTTTATTGGTTTCTCAACATGTGTGTTACATATGTATGCCGAATTAGGTAGTCAATGGATATATAATGACTAAACTATTATGCTTGAAAAAATAAAGTACAAATTCTATGAATGATTAATGTGAATCACCGTATGATGACATGTTTCTTGAAGTCAAGATGATTGGATATCCCTTGAACCGACAAAGAAGAACAATCAAATACATGCATGTGATTTTTTTTTTCTCTTTTTTTTTTTTTTTTTTTTTTTTTTTTTTTACTTATTTTATGAGTTACAAACATGTAATAAAACATATCTTACCTAATACTTTTTTATAGATGATATTCATAGTGTATATTTCTTTTATCCATTTCG